AGAGGACAAGTCTGGTTCTGATGAAGAACATAATCAGGGGACTGTGTTGGATCAGACTGGTTCTGATGATGGAGAGAATCAGGTGACGGTCTTGGAGCAGGCTGGTTCTGAAGAGGAAGATAGTCAAGAGAAAGTGTTGGACCAGTCTCGTTCTGATGAAGAAGAGAATCAGGTGACGGTGTCTGACCAGTGTGGTTTTGAAGAAGAAGATTGTCAGGAGAAAGTGTTGGACCACTCTGTTTCTGAAGAAGAACATAATCAGGAGACAGTGTTGGATAAGACTGGTTCTGAGGAAGAGGGCAGACCGGACAGACTTCCCCACTCTGAACTGGACTTAGATCTCATCCAACCCCTACAGAACGTCAGATTCTCTCTCTCAGACGTAGGAGTAACCTTCATAACTGGTCCTGATCCAGAACCCTTTGATAAAGAAAATAATCAGGGGACGGTGTCGTACCAGACTGGTTCTGAAAAAGAAGAAAATCTTGAGAAACCAAAGGACCAGTCGGATTCTGATGAAGAACAGAATCAGGAGAAAGTTTTGAACCAGTCTGGTTCAGATGAAAAAAAGACCCAGGAGACAGTGTTGGACCAGTCTGGTTCTGATGAACAACAAGAGATCCAAGAGAAGTTATTGGACCGGTCTGGTTCTGATGAAGAAAAGACCCAGGAAACTGTGTCAGACCAGGTATTGGTCCACTCCGGTTCCGAAGAAAATTACCAACAAAATGTTTTGGGCCAGTCTGCTTCTGTAAAAGGAGAAAACCCGGAGAATCCAAAGAACCAGACTGTTTCTGATTTAGAACAAAAGATCCAAAAGAAGGTATTGGACCAGTCTGGTTCTGATATAGAAAAGACCCAGGAGACAGTGTTGGATCAGACTGGTTCTGAGGAAGAGGGCAGACCGGACGGACTCCCCCACCCTGACCTGGACTTAGATCTCATCCGACCCCTAAAGAACGTCGGATTCTCTTTCTCAAACATCAGAGAAACCTCCAGAACTGGTCCTAATCCAGAACCCTTTGACTTTGGCTTGCAGTTGGACGACGAGGTTCTGGACGACACTGAGCCTGAACCCTCGAAGGGACGTTGGCTTCAGGTGAACGGCAGCTTTGACCTCTGCAGGTCTCTGTCTGAGAGCTCAAACAGACATGTCAATGGGTCCAGGACTGGGTCCAACACGGCCAGGATTTACAGCAGAGAAGAAGAAGAAGTTGAGGAGCAGCTGAAGAAGAAGAAGAAGAAGAAGAAGATTCGGCTACCCCTGACCTCCACACCTAAAGAACCACCCTCTGCTTATGCCCATCACAGGTTATGGACAAATCCCGGACAAGCCCCCTCCCTGGTCTCAGGTTGGCCCATTCCCCGGTTCTGGGAAGACCTTCAGGATTTGAAGGAGAATGATGACCCAGGAACATTTGGGCTCCAGGTGGGTCAGACACAATGCATCTTTTGAAACTCATGG